CTAACAATATCCCAAAGATAACCTTTAACTTTTTTAACATATGTAACATTTAAAGTCTCTAACAATATGTTTGTTTCTTTCTCTCACATTGATAAGTGTTCATCTCTAAACCAATCTTTAATCTCAGAAGTGGAAATAACTTACTCAAGCCCTTTAGAGGTACATGTATCTTCTATTGCTTTGCTCGTGTCTTTTCTGCTTGTCGCCGTTTTCAACTGGGATTTCTTACTGATGTTTTAAAAGCAAAATGATCTTTTTCACCTTTATATCTCTTTTATCGTTCTCTATATCGTTCTTTTTCAACATGGTGATTCCCCTCTGCTTGTCACCAAACTGGCTTTCACTGAGTCATTGTACTTTACATTTCTGGTGCTATGTTTGTCTGAAGCTGCACCTGAAAACTTTCAAGCCGAATCCTTTTAAATTGACATTACATTTGAACTCCTTATTCTGCTGTAGCTGTGGTCTTTAAATACAAATCCATCTTTTGATTGCTTTTGATTATGGCAGCTGCCTACTTCTCCCTTGTTGCCAAATGTTTGTTCAGTTTGGCTGTTGGTGACCGAGTAATTTTGAAATGCTTCCCTAAAACTAATACAACATATGCACTTATCTTCAGTTCTGTTGTTGTGGTTGTTTTTGTTGTTGTTATGACGTTGTTTCTTATTTCAAACGTGGTGTATCGGTTAGTAAAGTGAGTTTATCGTGCTTAGTGTTAATACCGTAACTGTTTTACCCTCATTTAGTGTCCTGTTTGTCTCTTTAATCCAGCAGCATGTTGAGCTACTCTCTCCCCGACGATCATCACACGCCTAGCATTGTAGATAGTGTAAAAGAGTTAAACTAAAGAAAATAGATACAAGTAAAACATACTAATTGATACATACTAATGCATGAATTATTGTCAGAGCTGGGTTTTCATTCCTATTAATGTTCATCATCATCACCAACATCATCACAATTCCGTGACATCTGAAAGGAAGATGTCCTCTGTTATGGGACGTAGGCTTAAAAGACAAGAAAGTGAAATGTCGTTGCTATCTGTGAGTTTTTCATCAACAACAAAATTATCACAAATTCACCTTATTCCTTCTCGTCCACCTAATTTCATTTAATTTTTCCACCAAGCACTGTTAGATTGCTTCGTTCTGCACGTGTAACCACGCTCGTTATAATATTTCTAACTCCGCCTTAACATTTTGGACAAAGAGGATCATTAGAGGTTTCACAATTACTCCACTTTTCTAATATAAGCAAGACGTGTTGTCTCAATGGCCACCTAACACGCAAGATTCTGGTTCAAAAGAGCTGAGGGTTCAAGCCCTGGCTGCAATTAGGTCGTGGGCGAGGCATTTTGCGTTTTTCTTGAACCGGGAAGTTTGACGTCTTTGCAAAATTTGACTATTGCCCTTACGCTTTCCATGTTTCCCTCAAACCTTCGCACTGGGAACCAACAAAATCCAGCACACACCTCCTTGTGAAGCTTATCTCTGTAAACTTTTTTCATTTCTGGCCTAAATCTTGTTAATTTCCAGAATGTTGCAATGACCAGTCATGTTAGTAAAAAGTCAGGCCTGATACCAGCCTCGTCAGTCACAGCAACTACGCCTGCACCTGGGAAGGCCACAGGGCTCAGTCCGTCACCATATCACGGTTCGTTTGGTGGACTAAGTCAAAATCAAGACCCACCCCCACCGTTCCTGTTTGTTGACAGTCTGAAACCCATCGAAATTGTGGTAAGCTTCACTGCTTTCTCTAGGTGGCTTGATCCACCGCAGCCCGTTATCAGAGAAAGAGATAAGGAAAAGGAAAAGGAAAAGGATTCTAATAGCGTAGTAACAGGTGAGAACTGAACAGTAGAGCTTACTTATATGTAAATGTAGTTAGCAAGTTGTCGCCTATTTACGTCAACCAAGTATTTTACAGTAAGCTGAGGTAGGTTCTTTGGATTCAGGGCTTATATTGTATTATAGCAACATTTAAACCAATATCATCGTGTAGAAGTTATTTCGACGTGTAGATGCGCTATTCAGTAACGTGAAGGAGGGTGAAAGCCAAACCTTCTGTGAATCATAGTAATGGTCATTTAACAGCAGAAACATACAAAATGGAACGAAAGCCGCTTATCACAAACATCTGAACGTGACTTCTTTAAACTTGTCTGAAACAACCCAAATGTTCCCTGAAAAATCCATTATTGGCAGCAGCGTAAAACCTATTTGTGATGATTCTTCGTTCATATGTTACTGAAAAGTACTCCAATTTTTTGGTGAACAGTTTTTTTTCGAGGTATGACAAAGGTTCTTAATCCAAATATTGTGAAATAGGATTGATGATCATTTTAAGCTGTGAGCGTGGGAACCTACCTGCGTGGTGTAAACCAATGTTTCTGTGTTACAAGTCTATTGTTTCTGTTCTCTGTTTTTAGCAGATCCAAGGGAAGCAGCTCAGGTTGAGGAGAAACCTGTACCACCCACCCCAGGCTTACTCGTTGCGGAACCGTACTCTTGGAAGAGCCTGGTGACGGGTCAGCCAATTCTACGCATTCGCACTTCAGGCACCAAGGCAGCCGTCCTTGTTCTACCGCCGGGGTAGGTACCGATAGGTCTGGAATCTTCAGCAAAAGGTTTCATGATTACAATCTATTGTACAGAGATCCTTGCTGGGTTTTCCTTTTTTTTCGGGGGGGAGGGGGAAAGGGGGGAATTTGCACGTGGCATTCCAAACCGATTAACCAAACATAGGGACTCTGTACAGATATCTCATAATCTCATAGGAGCGGGATTTTAGTTATTAGTTTCGCTCTTCTCTAGGAATTTATGGAAAATTAGAGCAAAAGGAAAAGGTTTCGAAGCCGCAAATGAAATAACAGGAAACACAACGTCTTATTACGTTTCTCTCACGTTCTATCTTTGTAGGCGTCACGTGTTAAGATTTCTTGTCCAAGCCCCTCACGGTTATCACGTGGAAATGGCTTCACAGACGCCATTTGTTTATGGCGACGAAGACACAGTAATGACTTGTCTCACAAAGGTACGTGTACAGAACTAATCAATGTCTTACACGTGTCCATCAGAACTACGTTTGTAGCACATCCAGAGCAAGATATTATGAACGATATTATACTCTCTTGTCTAGAGTTAAATCTCGACTTGGAAATTAAGTATGGAACTAGGTGTAAGAAGATGTTTATACCTTAAGGTTGACAACCTCGTTAGTGATGTTCTTATTTTGTTATTAAAGGAAGAAGAAAAATTCGTTTCTTTAAACGTTATTAAATACGCCTTATAGTATGACTGTTTTTGCAATCAGCCGGGGAAACCTGGCTGACAAGTGGTGACACACCTCGTGTTTTTTTTCTGCTAGGAAAGTTGTCGTTTCCTGGAGCACGCCATGAATGTGTTTCAGTCAGTTAGCAGCCTTGTTGGATCATTCGCTGATCCTCCTGCTGACAGGAAGTTTGACTTGGATCTTGGACTTAAGGATCAGACGAAAGACATTCAAGATAGGCATTACAAGGTACGGTGAGGTTATTGATTGCACATTTAATACTACACTTTGGAATACGTCCGTGCGGGATACGCTGGGATACAATGTTTCTGTTAAAAGCTTTATGATGCGTTACGATAGAAACGAAATGACGGGATGTGGAATGAACTTGCGAGGTGCTTCCTAGTCTCCGTTGAGCCACACACCTAATAATTGCATGTCTTTCTCAGCCATTGAGTTTTTGGTTTCAAAACACGCATTATTCACTCGCCAGAGAGTGGAGAATGTTCATCGGAACTAGATAGCGAACCAATCACATTGCTTGAATCTTTAAGATCGTGGAGTGTGCTTACACTAAATTTAAATTTTATGTACATACTTTCATCAGGTTTTTATGAGGTGTCTTCTGAAGAGTGTCAGATTCCATCTCGCCGATTGTTACGATTTACCGATGCACTTTGCCTGGAAAGCTTTTCAGTTCCAAGCCTCTCTCTGCTTGCATCAGCGAGTCGGCCACAGGCCCTTGTCAGCAGCGGAGATCACGAGGATCGGTTCAATGACAAAGAAGCGGGCCGTTAAGAGTGCTGGTGCAGTACCTCCCACTTGGGTAGATCGCACATCAAACAGTGAAGAAGAAGGCGCTGCTACTAAGATCCAGGCCGCTTTCAGGGGTTATTTCCTTCGAAAACTGGCACGAGCATACGTAAAAGGTTGGTGTGGTGCGCTTAAGTTTTTAACAATGTACCAGAGAAAAACAGCGATGAAGTGATTGAGCCTTTGTAGTGTAATGTGTGGCCACTAGTAAAGGTTAGGATAAGAGATTATCAGTAAGGAAGAGGACGAATATGAAACAGGCGAACGAGAAAATTTTAGCCGAGTGCCTGTGCTGGAAAGCTACAAAGACAAGGTAAAATCTGACGATCCATTCGCGGCGGGAAAAAACAAGTTCTGTGTGAGTATGGGCAAGAAAGCAACTGAGTCCATCTTCAATAGTTCTACTTGGCAACTTGAACTTTTTGAAGCCCACTCCGACAGTTGGTAAACCTGGTAAAGGTTCATGCACTCAGAGTCAATTGACGAATAAGCAATCTTTCGGATAACGGAGAAAGCTATCCACACTATTTCCTATTCTCCTCAGTTGTTTAAATTGTTTTGTGCGGTTACTCACACATCTTAATCGTTGCTAATGGATCACGACTGATGGTCGAACTCCCCAAAAAATTATTTCTGTAGAGATGTTTCGTAACAATTCTTACCTTTGAGCTAGGACGCATCACTTCGTCATCTCTCGAGATTATTAATTTTCCAAATTTTTCTCACAGGTACCGACGAGCACCAGAAAGTATGGGAGCTTCTGTCCAAAGCTTGGGGTGTTATCGAACCTAACTTGGAGAGCTTTGCCATTCAGATCTTCAGGTTCATGTTCAAACGGGATTCAGAACTGTTCCCTTTGTTTCCTTTCTTCAAAGATGAGTGGAGTCGCGTGGCGTACTCTGACTACAACGGGGGGTATCCTGAGCAGCCTCCCCAGTCTTGGTTTGTGGTTTTTAGGTAAGAAAAAAGGCCGTGCTTTTTATTTCGGTTTTTTTTTTGTGACTTTATATTAGGGTAGAGAATCTCCAAAATTATAAGAAACCAAAATTATGCGAGGATGGCTGAGGATTGAGAAGATTGGAATGGACCGGAAACGTTGCGGGAATTTCTTTAGGAAAGGGCACTTAGTGCAAAAGGACGTTACTCGAAGGAAAATTTCCAAATTTCTCCGAGTGAAATTGCTTCTTAATTTTATTATCAGTGCCGTAGTTGCGTATTGTACGTGTGACAACCTAAATTTCGTCAGTCAAGATCGCATATAGACACATCTGCCACAATCGCATAAATTTTCCAAATAATGCAATTGGAAAATGCATTGAGATAAGATAGGCGAATATTTTGTGGGAATATTTGGACGTAATTAGTATTTGTTTTTGTGGAATTTTTTTTAGGGAAGTGTTCTTCGTTGATGAACCAGTGCTCATGGTCCCTAAACTGTACGTTACCTTACCGACATGTTTGTTGCGGGTTGTAGACAATGACTCGGGGGAAGAACTGACCAGGGTCTTTCAGAAAGTTGCACCCAATAACCTAAAGAAGAATAAGGTAACTTATTCTGTCAACTATTTTATACAGAGAGAGAGAGAGAGAGAGGGAGAGAGTAGCCTAGCTCCCCAAAGAGAGTTTTTAGCTCAGTGGAAGAGCGTCCGAGATCGGAATCTGAAGCTCTCGGGTTCGACTCTTCATGGGGGCTCAGAATTTTCTCTTTGTCGCACAATCTCGAGAAGACGGAAAAAACATCTCTCTGTAAGGTGGTGATTGTTTTGTGATGCCTGTAGGGACAAGAGGCGCTCTCGGCGTTACTGATTGACCCGACATCGTTGCTTACTTGATGCTTATTTAGTGTTTTCAGTGGTGCTCAAATGTTACCTTTTGATGTCATTGATTTTCCTTTGTTTCATCAGCGTGGTTACACGTTTGTGGCTGAAGCAAGAACGCCAAACGCTATTCTCCCGGCGGGAAAGTTTCGTTTGCGCGTGATCGGTTCTACAGAACCCTTACCCTACCCTGGACGAGAGGGAGTGAACAGTCACTTTGTCACCAAGGAGATTAGAGATTATTATATTCCAAACAAATACAACATCATTTTCAGGTTAGATGGTAGATGAAATTCTTCAGTCAGTACCTGACTTACTTTGAAGATAAACTGTGTTTTGACTCTTAACCCTGTACTACATCCTAACACCAGTATGCACATTCTTCACACTGTTCTCTATACATTTCCTAACGTGCTTTCCATTTCCTAAGGTGCTAAGTAATTTTCTGTACGCTGCGTTAGGTACACAGTCAAGGTACAGGAGGATCACATGGCTAGCTTGCAGCTAGGGACGTCTAAACCAGACGTGTACATCAAGCTACAGGTAAAATGACGAGGAATCATTTCCCTTCCCTGGAAAAGACAGCAGAACGCTGGGCCCTATCTGAGCAACTGCGCACCTACCCCTCCCTTAACCACACAACAGTCAACTAATAACAAATAAGGGTCAATGATGGGTTAGGGGAGGGGTAGGTGCGTTGTTGTTCAGAAACTGACATTTATCCGAATGTTCCATGACTTATTTTTTTCATTTGTCCGCCAGGCGGGTTACAAACGATTTCATTTACTTTTTTATTTTTTTTGTAAAGATTTTGGATCATGAACAGGAGGTATGTAGCACGACCGGAAAGAGTCATGCAGTCATCCCTGCTTTTACTTTTTACCGCGACCGTACAGGCGATGAAGATGAAAAACAAAAACGAGGTTAGAAAGTAAATATTGTTGTTTATTACACCGCTGGCAGCGCCCGTGGGCAATATGAAGCGAATCCTAAGTGTTGATTGGCTAAGCGAGCGGGCAAGATAGGCCTACCTGCCAGTACGGGATTGCCCCCTTTGATCCCGCACATGAAAATATTGAATTAATACTAAGTTGGCTATTCTTGGACAATGTCAGCGATGGAGACGCAAAAAGCGGCAGAAGACAGTCCAGAAAAAAGAAAACAAAAACGACTCGTGTGAATTTATTGTGGTACAAAGATAGTTGGCTTTCTTTTCCGGCTCTAGAAATAAACAAGTCATTCTTAATTCTTAATAAAGCGAAATCCTTTTGAAATAATAATACCTTTACTGACCAAGCGTGAGGTCAAGATGTCAGGATATTAGCCTTTTTTTCCGGTCAATATCTAGCCATCTTACCTTCACGCTTGGTCAATAACACGTAAATATTGCTTAAAATTGTTTCTTCTTAAACCAGTCGTTCTTTTGCAATCTACACCTAGATGTCCTTTTTCCCAGATAGCGGCCACTCCGACTGGAATGTTCGCATCTTAGATCTGAACCAGTTAGGGACGAGACCACGATGTTAATAAGCTTATTTGTTGGTTTTTCCAGGTTCGCGCCCTCCTACCTCGTCCCACCCCCGCTCGGCCAAGAGACCTCCGTCAGGAAGCCGCAAAGCAGCAGCCTCTCCCATGCAAGGGAAGGGTGGTAAGAAGAGCGGAAAGGAGTCCAGTAACTCCTCACGGCCTGGATCATCGGTGAGTGACCTAGCGCCCAAATTCGTGCAGTGCAGACATTTCAGCTGATATGTGACGTTCCATAGAATCTTTTTAAAGTTGAATTCTCGAACATACCGTGAGTACTGGCAGTTCTTGTTGTTGCATCGAATGAGATAAACAAAAAGAAAAACCAGATTCTTACAACAACATCTTTACACAACTTCTAACAACAATTCTGTGACGGCGACGAACGCCTCGGAGTCAGGGACAGATGATGCTGTCGTAAGTTTATTTCCAGCGGCTGTGAACGTGAACTTAATTTGAACACTTTTCTTTTCCTTTTAGCAGAAAGGCTCTCGTCCTCTCCTTTGCGACGACTCCGAAGACAAAGAAGACGAAGACACGGAAGATACGGAGCCTGAAATCAAGGTTCGTGGTTTAAGTACATTTCTCAAAGGTCGCCAGTTACCCCCATCTTCAAGATACAAACTATCCTTACCACGCGATGACTTGCGTTTGTCTTGTAATCCGTGTTGTCCACAGAACATTAAACCACTCCAACGATCGCTTTATCAAAGATTAAATATCACTTTAGGTTACTAAACAAATTCGACTCCCATTTTTTGGTCTGAAGCTATGGTGCCAATTCACTTTTTCTCCCCATATGCGTATCACAAACAGTTAGCTGCGTTGCCGCAAAGCAAAAGCACATAGGGCTTATTCCTTTTACTTTTGTTTCAGATACACAAGTATATAATTCAAGCCCAGGTCTTACGCGACAGTTGGCCTTTGTCCAAGAGTGCTTGGGATTTTGTTGCCTTGATCAAGAGCCTTGACAGACTAGACGTAGAAGGTATTTCTGCGTTTTTGGGTTTTAAACCGTTTTGCCTTCGGGTATAGTTATTTCGTCGTACTTGATATCTAGTGTAGGCAACCCAAGCAATGAGGAGTAGTAAAGCTTTTTTTCAATGCATTTTATTACTATATTTAGTCCCTGCGGAAAGCGCCCCTCGCGGAGATAAACTGTCTGCAAGTGTGTCCAAAGGCAAGAAAAACAAGGAAGGAAAAGAAAGTCGGTCAAGTAAGGGACAAGCTGGATCAAGACCATCATCACAGGTAAATTGGAAAGGTGTATTAGGAAAAGCTCACATTTTACGATTTAGAGACACCCATCCCTGAATAAGGAACGTTTGTGAAGATAAATAGATGTGGTAAATAGATCGTAACTTTGAGCGTTTGTTTGTTAATTTCTCAGAGTAATTCATTAACTTCTATTTTTTTTTTTACAGCAACAATTCGATTCTAGCAAACCAAACTGGACACTCAGAATCGTTTCTGATGCGAGTGCTGTAAGTTTTACGTGGTTTTGTCTCCTTTTGTTTATTTGCTGCATTGTTTATAGTCAAAAGTATGGTGCACTGATTAAGGTTATTGTTATGTTATTATAAACTGGAATTGATGTGTTTGCTGCTTTGTTGTGTACAGGAAGAGATTGAGGTCAAGAAGGACACAGAAAGGCAAGATGAAATAAAGGCCATGAAGCTAGCTTGGGAAGCCGCTGAACCGGGCAGAGCGGCGAAGGTAGTGCACGCATCACTCAAGAAAAAGTTCGAAATATCAGTTACAACACTCAGAATGTTTTCAAGGTCTATGATGATTTTTTAAGAATATTTTCTGTTACTTCCTAAGGCCCAACAAAGCCGTCAAAAGTTTTTGAACGAACACATGGTTAAGGTGGAAAAAGACGCAATCGAGGAAGAAAACGGCGACGAGGAACAACAAGAAGAGAAAGATGTTACTGCTTCTAGTGAAATACGTGAGTTCACTGTGTATATTTGAGCAATAGACCGCGCTATCTTTCGGTTTACTGGCGCTATACTCAACGCAGGATCGGTTGGGAAAAGACGAGAAACGTTTGTAAATCAGGCGAGGGATTTACAAAGTTTTCTCTAGCTCTCCCAACGTCCCAACGTTGGTTATTACACTGGGAAACCAATAGAATGTGCTGTCTATTGCTTTTATGAAATGAACTTCTATGAGTTTACTGGTGCAATAAATTAGAGACTTTTGACCTATCAGGGAGTTCGTAGTATGTCAGTTATTTTCTAACGAGACTTTTAACCAATCAGGGCGCCAGTTGTGTGTCAGTTATTTTACAATGAGATTTAATGGCTCAAAGAGTATTACCACCTATGACAGCTCCTCAGTTTCCCGTTTCTCGTCTCATTTCAGTGACAGTGACGTCACCAGTGCAGTCTGAGTCAGATCAAGGAGAATTGACCTTAGTACCACCCCCTAAGGAACCGGATCATATTCTCCAGCCGCTTTCTGAACCTAAGACCATCAGGTAAGATCTGTAGTGTTTTGTTTCCTCGAGTTTATTCTACTATTATGAAATAGTGGATGTTACTTTGTTTTGTTTCATTTTTCTGCACTCTACATCGGGCCAGAAGAAAACACCACAAGTCATATTGTAGCTTAACCCGCTTGTTTTCTTTTCCAGGTCACGAGGCGGGGTTCCCGTGTTGTTAGACGAGGAAGAAATAGAAAGAAGGCTGCTGGAAAGAAAAGAAACACTGCAAGCTTTTAAAACTCAGCGTAAAGAAGTTGAAAACAGGAGAGAACAGGATAGACTGGACAGGAACACTGCTAAAGAGAGACAGTTACAGGAAGCTGAAGAACTACAGGTACAATCTGAATTCTTTTAAAATTATTTTTTCATTTTACGTGCTTTATACTTGTTCGCTGCCTCAACCATTTCCTTTTTCCATTCCGCCTCTTTCTTCTCTTTTTTGTGTCAGGTAACCTGTAATTCTTCCCATCTTGTCCTTTTACCCAGTGTCCTTCCTTATTCATCATTTATTCCCCTTACCACTAACTCCCTCTCTCCTGCCTCTATATCTGTCCTCTCTTCCTTTCCCATCTTATTCCTTTCTATCTCTTTTTCATCTTTCTCGCTCCTTTCGTTGGCTCCTTCGCCCCAGCCTCCCTCCATCTCACCTCCGTCTCTTTCCCCGGCCCTACCGTTTTTATTTATTTTGTTTTCATTATCTCCCTTTCTCCCCTTCCCGTCAATCCCTCATCCGTTTGCTCCTTTATTTCACTAGGCCGCTACTGACAAATGGCGGGGCGAGGTGAACCAGAGACGGGAAGCGTACAGACAGAAATTCCTAGAGGCAGAGAAACAAAAAGAGGAAGCACAGGCGGCTGAAGCTGCGAAAGAAAGAGAACGATCTCCGTCACCGAGCAAGAGTCGAAAGAGTGCTTCTACTGCTAAAGGTGGAAGGAAAACTCCCGCCAAAGGAAAGAAAAAATAAGCATTGCTGCTTGGTAGGGGAATTAAATATCTCTACGTCACAATATTTATTTCCTGTTCCAAGACCGTTGAAAACGTTTTCATCAAACCGCTCGTCTTAGCGCCTTTTGGAACGTGCTGTGTTGAATTCCCAAATTATTACTTGTCCTATTTCTTTTCTCCAATTCGTGCGTTTCCATTTTGAAATGTTATATTTATTGGAATTGTAGAGTACAGTGTGAAAAATATTTTGGTACATAAGCAAGTTTTGTGTACAGGTGCTTTCTCGTGTAAATAATAAAAATATTAAGAACTCGTAACGAAATGAAATAGCCATTCTCTACTTTTTTTACCTTTAAGTTTTAATCCTACTTATGCAATCTGATATTTTCTGTCTTTTTTTTCGTATATTTTTGCGCCGCACAGGGTTAAGTATCGTTTGCTTGTAAAGATGGTGAGCAGAAGTTTTTTTTTATTCCGGAAACTGATATTTTGAAGGGTCTCTGACTTTAATATTTCGGTACCGTTTTAGAACATGATACTAGAAGAAGGAAGGTATTTTGAATTTCATTATAATTATTTGTAGTGTCGCAAGTGTCATACAAACGAGAAAATAACAACGAAGTGTGAGTCTCGTGTGGAATCTAATCACTGCCTCTCTGTCAGACAACCAAGCTCAAGTGACAACTGCGCGTTGCATACCGGAAAGATCAGTATTGTATACAGCAGCCTGCGGAGCTAATCGAGGAAAAAGGTCATTAATTAAAGTTCAATTGTCTAAGAAAACTGTGGACTTAATCAGTTATGAATCTTACACGAAAGGATTTGAGTGATTGCATTTCACTAGTCCTCCTTTTTCTCTTATTGCCCGGGCTTGATAATTTTCATAGGACACCGTACAGCGTAAGATTCTCTAACATCATCTCGTATTCTTCATTGGCAACAGCTGCATCTTTCTCCATTTTCTTGACATGCACTTTGTTCATTTTCCATTTAAGAGCTGCTACCCGTCTCCACGGACTAATTGATGAACCCCGTGGCGATTTCTCTTCAACCCTGTTTGACTGAGCCGCAGCCCCATTAGTCTTAACTTTGGTTAAGCTGGAAGTTTGGTTCTCGTCGCTCGACGAATTCTCAATGATTGTCATAGTCGGGATTTCAGGTTCACCGACGAGCTTCCCTTGGCTCTGAAACGAATCTACAGAGCCTACAACTCGTTGTCGTGTGAGGTTTGGTCTGATGCAAGCAGGCTTTCCTTGCATTCTGCCTCCTCCACTTTGCTCACTCATGTCAGGTTCATGCAATTGTAACGACGTTTCTGCAATTTGGAAATCACCTTGTGATTGTTGTGTGACTTCCATTTTTTCCTTGTAATTTCCTTTGCCGTGGTCACTACTCCAACATATTCTCTCGATCCCGTCTTGATTCCGCGATTCATGGTCGTTACGATCAAACGCCCTTTGATTAAATCTCTCAAATTGATCTTGGTCTTGTAATTCGGTACTTTTCAGTTCCTCTTTCACTTCCAGGAATGGTCGCTCTAAATCTGTTTTATGTTTGTCTTCGCTGCGATTTTCACTCACTGCAATGACGTTTTTCCCTTCCTGGGTACGAGTATTGTTATTCTTCACATTGTCTGCCACCGAAACCATATCGCAATTCCCACAAATGAGGAGAAATCTCAATCTTCTGCTTCGCGATGGTAGAGACAATTGAGTCATTGGTTTCCTCTTGTCGTCTTGATCTGCCATTTTGAATTTGCCTGACTTAACAAAAACAAAATTCTCCTACGCTTGTTAGTATGCGTGCCCAAGCTGTAATCCAACAGATTATGACCAAAAAGTTCTAAATCGAGGGATGTTTTAATCAAAACTTCTGATGACTAATTGAAGCAGAGATCGTCAGATCTTTTTCATTGTGGAATAAGACATTTAACTGCCGGTATTACCAAATTTTCGATTCCCCTGATTGGTTCAGCGACTTATTATCAGATGGGAGGATGTCCACCTTATTTAAATGTCAGGACAGGAACAACGTAATGATAAATTTTATCACAGGGATGAATAACCGGCGATGACAGGCGACGTGCCTCCTATGACAAGCGACAGTTGAGTTAGAACAGTTTTGAAACAGTAATTAATTGTATGTTTTTCGTTTGGATCTCCTTGTTGGTATAACTAATTTGCTAGAAATCGTGTTCTTCAAATTTCATTTAATTTAGACCAATGGAAGAGGACAGAGGTTGAGTACGACGTTCATGATGAACTGTAAACGGGGTTAAAGAAACTTCTTATCATCGGCTTTTAGCTTTTCCTACACTTTCTTTCAAATATTTGCCTTAACTGGGAAAGAGAAGTTTTTTGGCAACTTTTCTGAAGGGTTGATCATTTTTAGGCGGATTACAGGAAAAGCGAAATAGAAATCAGAGTTCACTTTATGCCATTTGCCGCCGCCATATACGTCATACGTGAAACTCGTGCTTCAACTCGGCAGTTGTAAAACTATTACGGCTGAACAGGTTTACAAGTAATGGATGTTATGCGCGAATCGAATACTTTATTTTTATCGGAGCTCCCGTTGATTGCGTAAATGTTTATGTAAAGTAGCTGAGCAGGATGCGCTACAACTGATTTAATCATTTATCTTTCTTGTTTACAACTTCCGTTTTAAAAAATGTCAAAGGATCTTGTGCGCAGAGTATATTGTCAATTTTTCCTCTTCTTCGAGGAAATGAAGACAAATCGTCACTCTCTGCGCTTTGGGAATATTAAACTTTGTTTTTGGCCGGAGTTAGTGTGTTCCTCGACAGGATTGAATTGAATGAAACCAAACATATTTCAGCACTCTGGCGAAGGGCTGACACTCGAAACTTCAGCTTTAGAATTTCTTTACGTTGGCCAATTTATTTTATCAGCTCAGTTGATAAAATCAAATTACCTTGCAACACCCCCTAACGACGCAGCACCGCATTTTGTTTAGAAACTTAAACCCTTTATTCATATTGCAGTTTGGCTCGAGAAGGCTCTCTCGGCTTAATTTCGCCCTCATTAATTGGGCAGGGGTATACAAACTTCCACTTGGCTACACTCGATGCCGTACTGAATTTCGAGACACTAATCCTTTGATTTGTGATAAGTAAGTACCAATTTTTATTTCAATCATTGTTTTAAGTGGTCACAGAGAATAAAACTGATCTTGACCAAGCCTCAGAACGTATGCCGACAATTCCCTATAAAGCAATAAATGACAATCCTTTTGAAAAGTTCCTCTACAATACTTGGTTACCGACAACTCTTTATTCTTCCCACGAAGCTTACTCCTTATCAAAAGCTAAAACCAACACATCTTGGATAATGCGGCTTTATTTGTTTTCAAAAGGTGCTTCTGAAACAATTAATAGCTCTTACTAGCACCAATCCTATAATCATATAAATTCAATCCTCTAATCTGAAACTGCAATTTAACTCTGTTGCTTCTTAAAGTAGACTGATCCCAGTATTAAAACGCTTCTGAAATTAACTTTAAACGGCTTTCGTAAGAATAACATTGGCAGATCATTTACAATTTTCGCGGCAACTTTTTCCATGTCTATCATGAGATATGATCATTACATAATCCGATCTTCTCGAATTGCAGCTATAAAATGACTTAAAAGGCTGCAAAAATTGCACGTTTTTTTTGGCTGCATATCGCGAGACCAGTTTTTTTGTCAAAGCAGTTTGCGTAGTGAAGAGACAAGCGTAACTATGCTGCATTATGGCGCCGACCTTCGACTGATCCTTCCTCTGATAAAATAAAGAAATGTCGATCAAAAATTTCTCAGGCTGGTTCACTACTTTACACGATTCAAGTTGCCACAGAAGTTGAAAATGTAAGTCATTTCATTCGTCCTGCAAAATTTTCCTCGTCACATAAAGAACCACAAAATACTAGCATGATAAGAGAGAAAATACCGCATTGAATGGGAAGAATAAATCTGAAAAGAACTGACAATGATGGTGACGGATGAAAAAGATTGGAAATGATGATCTCAGAGAGTTTAGGGTCAGTATCTCAAGGTCTAAGTACCTCAACTTAATCCCTGCAAAGTTTTAAAAGGCATTGCAATAAAGTTCATTAAAGATTAACTCCAGTTCTTTAGAGATACCAGGCATAAACTTCAGCGCATGTTTTGCCATCATTGTCATTTACACTGACCCCTTTCAGCACTTCGCCGTACCACAGTTGAAGCTCTTGGCCGTGTTGGAAATATTCTGGATTGGAGAAGTCTTGGAAAACGAGGAATGGGGAATCTGGCCCGAATCCCGGAAGTGCGTACCAGGCAGACATCGCCTTGTCCCGGATAAACTTTTCACGTGGGAATAAGATTTCTTTGGACGACGTGGTGATGAAGGTCCCCAAGGGTGTGGTTCCGATGGAAGGATGATTTATTGAGCAACCCCACTTGCTGTAAAACGAACCATGTGCGTGTTTAGAATGAAAGTCGTCTTTCTCACACGTGACTTTGCCACTGATATGGGCAACTTTGAGAGCGACGACAAATCCCTCCTGTGGGATAATGAAGATTCCAGGTTTACTTTGATTTGCACTGAAGCAGGCGTTGGTCACATTTAATTTTCGCCATTTGCCTGAAAACGAAATGAAAAAGTTACGTCATCTTTGTTATTTTCATGAAAGCTAATAACCATTCAGTCGATCTTTGCATGGTCAAGTTAAAGTCTCTCCCCGAGAACAACCTGGGAAGGTCTCCTCAATCTGGTTAAAAGCGTTTGCAATTCTCTTCAATGATTGTCACTGCCTATTTCAAGGCTATTCTTTCGTTGTGAGCTCGTAAATTTCAATTGTTGGTAATTATTCGAGAGGCGAACAAAGAATCGGAGGTTTATTGAATTTTTGCAAATAGACGATAGTCTGAATAGCCCATGCCCACATAAACATTTTACAAGCGTTTGCACGTTTTGAAGGAAGCCAATTCTTGACGTTGCTGATCCTAAAAGTAAACAAGACGCTTGTCCCAATACGAACCTGGTAAAGAGCTTTGCTCACAATCGAGGACTCTGGAGCTCAGAGTTAGAGGATCTAATTTGAATGCAAAATCTGCAGATATGAAGCTCTAATTCTCGTGGGAAATTTAGATTTTTATTTGTCTCACGCTCGTGATTAAAAAATATCATTTCTCTTTATCGGACGAAAAGCTACAAAGTAACCATCTTTCTCTCCCTAAGTCAATTTTACACGGCATCTATAAATTATACTGTTATTTTTTAATCTTCTTGTAGATCTTATCTAGTGTTTATTCCCCATGATCACAGCTCAAGTCGGCTCGATTTACAAGACTAAATTTGACTTCAAATGGAGCTACCGCTTGACTAAAATGAACCTTGACCAAATGATCAACTGAGGTGCAAGTGAAAGATAATAATTAAGATTGGAAAGGATTATAGTGGATTACAAACTGACCGTTTGAAACGTTCCCGATATAAAAGCTAAAAAACAAATACAATATGATTTTGGCAGCCTTGCAAGAATTATATTTCGACATTTATGAACTCTGAATTTGGCAAGCATGTCTCTATGAACCTCTCTTTCTCTATGAAAGAAAAAGTTTTCTTGTTATCCTCGGTTGGATGTGTAAAACAAATTTGAGAGTAAAATAGTCAAGAAATGTCAGCATATCAGAAATTCTTTAAGCTCAACTGGTCCTAAACGCCTTTCTTTCTAGACGTGCCTCGTTAAAGAAATCCCTCGAGAATGGAATAAGTTCAAACTGTAGTTTGCTTGTAATCAGATGTCTTTTTAACGAAGAATATTCGCCTTGATTGAAAGCACTTTTATTTTTTGACAAACGGTCTGATAAGCAAGGCAAACTGAAAGACAAGTTCTTGTTTATAGCTTACCTGGACTTCTAGGACACATCATTTGCATGCCCTGTCTCAACGACCCTGCCTCTTGTTTCAGTAGATTCCTCAGTTGTTCTTCTTGCTGCGCGGAAAATTCACCGCAACAACGTAATTTGGCTATTACACCTTGACAAAAGATTGAAGTAATCGCGCCCACTAGCAACAGAAATCTGGCCATGTCGAATGCAAGGACTGTTTGTTTGCTTTTTTTCCACGCGTGGCCCTCAACTAGACCAGTTCCTGATATCACAGGTATCAGCGTTCAATGAGAAGGGGGCCTCATTAGAATGCTTTAAAAGCAGGATTGACGCCCACAACTGTTAAAATGTTTTCATCGGCTCAACACAAATTGCGCAGATCCGTCTGTTACCACGTATCCTTTGAAATTGGATGAGAGCGGATTTGTCTGGCGGAAGGATTATTGCACGGGAGGTAAATCAAAAGCGGTGTTAAATTGATTTTGGAGTACGCGTTATAATACCAAGAATATAATTTTAAAATACGTAAAGTTTCAGCGAGTAAGTCAAGAAAAAATAAAAGCGTTTCACCTCCTTAGAGAGAGGTAAATCACAGTGGCAAAGCTAAGAAATCTTTTAAGAACCATGTTTATTCTGAACGTTAATATTTCATAAAATATGTCTCGGTAGTTTCTGCGCAACAAGCGACAGCAACCGTTACGAAATTATTTTGCAAACTATTTTTTCTGTCGATGTCATTGAAAAATGCAAAAGCCAATTTAAACTTCAGGAAAGGAAATTGAGGGCTCCAAGCGAAACAACTGTGTATTAACAGTATATCAAGTATTCACAGCACGTTATTTTAGTAGGTTAACAGATTACGTCAGAGTTTTTTTTACAATGTGATCGGCGGGAAGACATGTTTTGGATGTCAATTGCGTTCCAGGAGAAAATAATTTTAGATTGTTTGGCAATAAAAATGGAAAAAGCATACAAATAGACAAACTAAAAAAATTTCACAAAAATTTATAGTCTTACTTTTCTTCTCGTTCCTTTTTTCAGTGAGTAATACAATACTGATTGCAAAGTCTAAATTCTTACAAGAGAATTCTGGGAGGTTCTAACAATTCCAAAATTATATGCTCAAATTTCGTTACAGGGGCCCCGGCCTCAGTTCGGGAAAAATTATTACCACTAAAAATGCCCGGAAAAAGGAGTTTTTTTCGATGTTTAAATATGATGTGGTCTATTTCAAATTTCGGGTTTTGTTCAACAATTCCTGATAAACATCGAAGGTCCACATCCTAATATATCGTGTAAAAGCTGCTTTGTGTCTAACAGCGGATGCTTGTCGGTAAGCGCAACCACTATTTGTACCTTAATTATAACTTGTTAAACAAAATCGGGTTAATATTGCTTTTTGATGTTTAGCGCCTTAGGGAAAACTTGTATCGTGAGCTACGTGGAAGTTTGGGGAAATATGCAAATGTAAGAAAAGGAAGGCCCAAGAGGACTCGCAGGTGGGCGGATTAGAAGTTATCGCTTCAAGTCTGGTTTGAACTTATACAAAAAAAAGCTTAAAAATTTTTCAGCTTCTTTTACATTGAGAAACGGTCTTAAGGCATGAATTGTGGGCATCTTTTTCAAGCTCAAAGATTAGATAATGATGAAAATGTCAGTTGAAGAAGTACCTCCTTCTTCGTGTGTTCGAGGGGGGTTGGATTTTCCAGTCTGCCAGAAATGACGCATAAGCTATTGTGTTTTCGCTCAGTTGGAGAGACCTGAGCAGGAGACAAAAGTCTACCGGCAGAGCAGAAAAAAATGAGCTTGATGTGCACGCAATCTTGATTGCCTCTCAGTCGAAATAGTTTTGGAATGATATGGCAGAATAAATCTTTATATCATTCTGCATGGCGGAGGACCGTCCGCAATGGGTTAAGGGCGTTTGCACTTTGAACTTGGATCAGTTTAAGTGGAGAGAGACATAGAGTTTTGAAGAGGAAGAGTTTGGGAAAATGGCCAAGAACTGGTCAGTAGGAGCTGATGATGTAAGTTACTAAAGCATCTGTTCGCTTTAAAAGCAGAGGAAAAATGGAAAGACTCTTCCTGAAAAATGAAAATAGATACAGTCCTATTACACTGGCATAGAACGAGAAATGTATCTGTTCAAAATGACGAAATGTAGCAATTCGTGATTTGTATTGACATTGCGTAATCATCTTTGTACGCCCCTGGAGGCTGGGAAATGGTCGAAAACTTTATCCGTTTCCGTAACCTAGCTAAATTTTAATTTTATTTACCGTTATTTCACTTTTTCCTTAAACTAAATTTAATTAAATTTTAGCTTCAATTCAAGGCTTACATCATGAACTGGCATGATATTATCGCGCTATGCGTGTCAAGATCCTAGGTCAGTTACCCACACTAGGTCGAGATTGGGCGGAAAGACGGAAAGACTCAAAGAATCTTGGCAAACAAAATAATGAAGCGAAAAATTTGATTGTTTAAAACCAAAATACTATCTTTTCACGACGGAAAGCTAATTTCCGGAATTTTCAGAACGCCGCACGTCTCCAAGCCCGTCTAAATCGACTGCATGACGGCAATCAACTTCTTTTACATTTTTTACTTACTTTCCTAGCAAAAAAAACATGCTGTGAACTCTGACGTTATTCGACTTTATTTTCCACGTAACAATCATACTACTAAAGTCATAATTTAAGCTTATCGAAAATGTTGCTAAGGCGTTAACGTAGTATTGGCTGGACATCAATACTGATTTTATACAGGAAGACCTTTGCATTTTCTTAGAGGCTTTTCGCTCATGAATCTTTTCAGTACATCTCATTCTTTTATTTTATGTAGTAGGAATTGATATCTTTTAATATCTGTTTGCACGGTCACAAAGACTCCATGTAACATGTTTTTTGAAAGGAAATATTTGATATAAGGCTGGATAAAACTACTGCCGAAAAAGCGCGAATTCCGTTTTGGAATCCGTCAAGAAGACCGCACATGTACCAACTGATTTCCTAAAATAATAAAGTAACTTGATCCCACAGGAAGTTCTACCTGCATATGTCGACATAGAAATGCACAGCGTAACTTTACCTTTATTTTAATTCTTCTCTAAGAAATCTAGCGGCGAAAACTTATTTCAAAATAAAATTTATCTTTGGCCGCACTAACAATTCGTTAGAATTTCAAGCCGTTCCTATGGGTGTGTATTGTCATGACCGACAATAGTTGCCGTCCTGAAAGAGGATAAAAGTAGAAATCAAGACGAGCTTTTCTTCTCTTTTTTCCAAAAGATCTCTTTGGGAAGCGTCCAAAAACGTTTGGAACTTCGTTCTGTATGCACCAGGTTATTTGATCCTAAATTTCTGCCGAAATATTCCCAACACTCAAAAGACCAAAGGCTCAAGCAGTTTCTATTTCTAAGAAGCTTAGAATTTTAATACGCTAACAATTATAATCGAACAAGTATAATCTTTCGAAATTATAACCAAGAGAAAATTTCGTAAAAGGCTCAGAAAGATTTCATCAACTACTTTATCTTCACGTGAACCTCCTTCGATTTTAGTTCTTTCACAGAGCAGACTCGTTTGATGTATTCTTTATGTATATACTCTCATTCAAACAAAACCGTGTTCCTCACAAAAAGTAAGAAGCTTAGCATGATTTCGCGAACGGAAAAAGTTAGACTTTGTTCTAGCTGTTCTAATGGTCGAGTACTTTGAATTTTAAGCTCCATTTATTTGAAAGGGTGACCTTGCGATCAGCCAAGATTATATGGAACCAAGCAAACTCACATACTTTTTTTTATCAGCTGTTCTTTCTCCGCGGAATTTCAACGCTGACCTCTGGTAGTGCTGAACTTGGCGGTACATTACAAGCTGCGGCGATAAGCTGCTTACACCGAACATAATGGAAATTGAATTGGTTGATGGTTACATTCTTTAATCTTACGAGGTTTGCCATTCATGCGAGCTGAAAACTTTCACATGTCGACGTGATTGCATTGTAGGAAAAGCGGTTATGAGGGAAAAAAGGTCCGAACGTGATGGAAACGTTCTTCATTGAATTCAAAGTTCAGGAATGTAAGTAATCCTAAACTGTCATGCAACTTTGTGAATTTGATTAAATTCAGTAACTTGGCCGGCATTGTTTCAATCTTTGCAGACGACTATTAAAGATGCCGCCTCAAATTTTCTTCCATTTAGTGTGGACTAAAACGAACCCAATCACCAATGAAGATTATCCTTTAATGGAAGACCGCCCACGCACATTTAATTTGCCTTTTTTTACGTTATAGTTTTAGTAAAAATATCTGAGACCTCTGCCCCCCTTAAAATTCTTGGTCCGATTATAAGTTTGTGAAACTTTAACTTTATGGTTTTATCACTAATCGCCGCGTTCACCTTTCAGGTTGATCCAGTGAAGACATCGTCAATTTTTTTCGCCCAAAAGATTGAAGAACTTGCATTGTCCCAGCAACTCGGCCCCGACGTTCAAAAATGAGGACTTCCCGATTGTTGGTAATGCTAATTGCAGCTGGTTGTTGTGCTATTTTGTGCAACGGATCTCAGTCTTGTGGTTTACTACATCAGAATGTTACAAAGGGAATTGACAGAGTGTTAGTCACTGAACGTCATTCGTTTGGAGCAGACTTTAGGAACTTTTGTCTTTCCTATGAAAAAGGTATGTTTGCTAGAATTACGCCACAAACAACACAGTAGAGTGCCAGCTGCCTCCATTACCATAGGGGGAATTTTATATAACGCAAACAGTTTTCATTCACATAATGCAAGCGTGAAAGAAAATTACTTTGCTCGGAAATATATTTAAGTCACAACTTGACCAATTTCCTCTTTATTAGTAATCGAGCCAAGACGCTTAAATACTAAAGCAAATTCAGGAAACACTATGCACCTTATTACGCGAAACCTACACATCTGAAATTAAATCTTCGCAAATTCTTTCGTTGGAAAAGGTTGCATGAGCTAATTTCAGTGCTGGTAAACTTCGAAACAAACACGTTTACGCTTGTAATAAGAAATGTGTGAAAAATAATGAGAATGCCCTGATTAAAAAAAACACGAAACCCTCGCAATTCGCGGAACTTGTGATCATAACAAACTCAGTATACAGAAAATTCCTATTTTTTCAGTCCTTTATTCGTAACACCAAAGAGACATACTTATTTGCTGGTCTTAAAAAAGCTTTACCACTTTTAGCTGTTGTTGAACTTTCTCTAAACCCAATTGCAAAAGAGATAGAAAAATAGAAGTGAATCATTTATAGACCTAAAATCAGTCACTGTTCTATGTTGAATCTACTTAACAGTGGTTCAAATTGTTTTCATCCCGCAAAGCTCTACCCGCTTTCCTCTACGCCTTCCCAGACCTAAGACGTATTTGCTCACGGCGCAACTAGAGATGCATGCCCTATCGTACCGGTTTCTTGATAAACGGTAGTGATAGGCACGCGGGAAAATGCAATACTCTGCCGATTTTCAATTTTAAATTGGTGAATGTTGTGAGCTAAAGGCTTTGGGCATCAATGCAAGAGGAAAGTTGAAGTCTTTGTTCACCGTAGATCACACTAAGCGTATAAAATTATAATCCAATGAAGAAATTTAAGTTTACTTTCAGTTCTAAAATAAACATACAAAAACAGAACCCTCCAAAGCCCACAACTGAACCAAAAATAGGTCTGAAATTTAAACGATTGATATCTGAATAAGCTTAGTTCTGCTTTCAACCTGGGAATACAGATAAGCCAAATTTCTTAAGCAAATTGAGGTCAGTTACAAATGAAAAATTATCGGATCTATTTCCACTAAGTCACCGACGCCATTTACATCAAATTGATTTAACTTGTTTAATCTTTTCTCAGAGAAGTGGCTGAGCTTAACAAAAGGAGCTGTCTGCTTTGGAGGGACTGGCAACGAATATGCCTCCCTTGTGGTACCAATAGAGGGCTTCCTAATGTCAGTCAAATTGACCCACGTCAGTGGACTCAGCTCATGCAAAAGAAATTCTCCCCAATATAACAGTAACTGGGGTTGCTCTCGCAATCATCCTGAACACGGCAGATCGCCCTTTAACGTTGTCGTAACGACGGCACCCAGAAATGACATTCTCTTTCCGACACATTTTTTTCTCCAACACAACAAGGGATCCTATTGGTACGACAAACCACAAGTGGACCCTCACTCACCGGAAATAATCCTTACAGATGCATCAAATCCCATTTATGTTGCTATGGGCCAAGAGCTCCGTGTGTGGTTCGGAGAAGACCTTTTGAAGTCTGGTGTGAAGAAAAAAGGAGGTAAAGTCTGTATAACCGCGCAAGCCTGGTACAAGCATTGAGCTGTCTAGATGTCACGTGACCAATTAATGCATATGTGTTGATGTAAGGACTGTGAAAAGCGGCCTCTTTATAGCAAAGTGAAATTTTAATGTAAGTGTAAGAGAAAGAAACAAAAATATTCAGGATAGCCTATGGTACTGAGGTATAATACTGGTTTTTTATAGGTGCAGCTCGGATAACAAAGAGCTTATATGGTTGATGAGATTGTTCATAGCTCAGACTCATCTTAAGTCGTGCTGGCTCGATCGCGTTTATTTTCTTCTAAACTCATGAATGTTACCCAAACTGGAACGGCGTTCCACAATTCGATGCTTTTGCACATGTCCAAGCAATGCGGTGACGTCACTGTGGCGTCTGCGCATTAAAGCAGGTTTTGAGCTGAAAGCGGTAGAGCCTGGTGTAGAATTTTTAATTCCGGGAAGCGCGGTGACTTTTGAGCTTGAACAGTCTTGCATTCGTCCCTTATTGAACGCGACTGATAAAAACTTGAAGTCGTTCTCGATCTCAAACAAAACATCTTTGCTTGCCTCTCTGTCATTAACTTCATCGTTTAGTTTTTCATGCGATGAACACTGAGTTAAAGAGCGCCATTTTCTCGGATTTACCATTCCCGCGTTGAGCTTAGTCGATTCTATGGCTGGCAAACTATTCCTTCGCAACATCAGCTTAGACTTTTCTGGTCCAGTGGGGCCCTTCTTCAAATCTCTACCAATTTTCTTAATTTTGTGGTCATGTTCTTGCAGGAGATAGTTTTTTTCTCGGTTGAGTTGATCCAACTTCTTTTGCAGAATACTTTCTTCTCTTCTATTAATCGCCATGACTTGTTCGACGCGTTGTTCGTTACACCATTTTGAAGCCTTCCGCATGCGGTGTTTATCCATAAGAAATAACGAGAACAGATACCTGAGGAGAAAATAAATGTTGGGTACTGAATATGTAAACATGTTACGTAATATATGAAAGTATAGTCTTTCCTCACGAAACTTAATGCTTAAATATTGTAAGACTGAGCCGCCCGTAAGACACTAGGAAAATTCCAAAAGTCACCTTGCGAGTATAATCACAAGCTGCGATTGCAGCTCATTCAAGCTGACAATCGCTTTTATGCTTCATTGCTGAATACTTTCGAAAGGCAATTCCGCTTGAGCTTAGCGCGTTTGGTCCAAACTTTTTCGAGCCAGATTTTCCTAGAGAAAACTCTTTCTTCTTAAAATTGTTTCTAGACTTCAAAGGAAAAACGATGGCGCAGTTTGCAGTAAGACTATTTGTTTTGATGATAAACAAACGCTCGTAAGAGTATGAACGCACAATTTACCCTTGTTGGTAGTTCAGTTATTCATTTTTACCTGGGACACACAAGTGCACTCGATTTTCAGGAATTAAATCCTCGATGCAAACTCATTAAGCTCAAAAGCCTCGGAAGAGAGTCAATGACTGCTTTACGAGTCTTTCTAGTGCATTGAATTGTTGAATCAAAAAGATCTACCGCCAAGAAAATAAAGGGACATGTACAGTGTTTGGAATGATATTTATTACGATGCTTACAGTTCAAGAAACACACCTCACTTTTGTAATATCACAATGCGTAATATTATAATGATTGGCGCTATAACCTCTTCCTTTCACCTAGCATCGCCAAGGGAACATCAAGTCTCTCATTGAAAACAGCTTTCTGAGTACATCGTGAATTGATGGACGGTCTCAATATATCACATTTTTTTATTTACCCAAAGCATTTCTGTGAATTTATTTAAGTAAAACAGTTAACGGTTTCATCGATTTACTCTACGCGCGAAGTTTGCAAAAGCGTGCGGTTCTCGTCCATTCAAATATGCTAATTTTAAGCTTCTTTAAGCGACCATTGGAAAGGTAAAAAAGTGCCTTACAAATTCGAGACTTTGTTCAAATGATACTTCATTCATTTTCTTTGAAAGTATCCAATAAGCGTTTGAAACTTTTTCTGTAAACTTTTTCATATCGTTCGACTTCAGCTGTCACTATTGCGGTTCCCTAGAGAACGATTCAAAGAGGCATCTATGATTCCTTTTAAAGAACCCTAGTCGTATCATTCAATTAAACAACTAACACCTGTAAAATCTTTTATTGATATTCTTTTCACCCTTAAAGTTTCCGCAACGGAATTAAGATATTCTCTGCCGGTAAATACGGTGTTTGTAACAAGTTCAAGTCGTGCGAAGGAGTATAAATTATGCACATTTCTGCCCTATTTATGGAATTTAATTTCAATTGATGAAAGGAAAAGGTTGAAGTGAGGTTATTATAAACCACAGTTGTGGTTCAGTTATCTTGTCGGCCATGAAGGTTGTATCTGCTCATATCAGTAAACAACGTGTTGTAAACAAAGATGTAAGGTTAAAACTTCTTCTGAGTGATCCTTCAAAAGTAAGGCGCAAAGATGAAGAGATATCGATCATTATACGAAAAACAATAACCTTTATTTGTGGGTCTTAATGAGATTTAAAAAGGATTTACAAAGCATCACGTAACCGGGGCGCAAATGTTACCTTTACGCCAATTGCAACCGAGAATTTAGCGTGAGTGTAAAGGTACTAAACAATAACGGAACTCTACTCTGATACGGGTGAAAAACAGTTTATTCTTAAAAAATTGCATCGTTTTCCCAAAATATTTTACCGATTCAATTGCACCGTGCATTGTATCGCGCACAGGCATCCCAAGCTCTCGATGTACCAGTGAATCTGGGCCCAGTTGTTCACAGGGCGGAGAACGCTATCTAACAGACAAATCGCTTTCCAGTTGACAGGTGTTAAAAAAACGTATTGTGCTATCTACCGGATAGAGATTTTCCCGGTGAACTGCGTTATGCACCCTTCGAACAACCAGAGCCTGCATTGTTATGACGCAACCAGAATTGTATCAGCATAATGGTTGCGCTTAAACCAAAAAGCTGTCCGCGATTTAACCCCTAAAATGTTTTCTTCGACTCAGTCCTGTGGATTTTGGGTCGATTTTCAGCGATCTAGGAAGTTTTCGTTCCTCCCATTTTTCCCGGCAAAGGCTTTGTCAATCCTTTCCTGGGAGAAGATACAAGAAGGAATGAGCAGTGTTTCTCAATTCAACTTTTTTCTTTGCAGAAACCTCTATATTTCTACTGTTATATAATATCCATGGATGACAGAAAAAATTC